TTTCTATTCATCTAAAACCCACTGTGTCTTCCTCAAGACGAATATATTTATTTCAGTTTAGAAATTTTTCTCAGATTCTGAAAAAATTTTCTTTTACTACACCTATAAATTAGTTCTTCTTTTTTAATGTTGAGAGAAAATTTAATTTTAAACCATCTTTTACATGTGCTTTTAGGAGAAAATATAAGGTAACCAATGTGGAAACAATAGGTATAATGCTACATAAAATACTTCAGTCTGTTTTCTTTGTTGTTCTCAGTAAAATCTTAGATATGTTATTACTACACACACACACACACACACACACACACACACACAAATACAGAAAATAAAAGAAGTTTGTTTCAAATTATACATTTGCATTTTTGTGATAAACACAAAGAGCACATCTTGTAATTGCTAACATAACTCTTTTATGGATCTGAAATTTGAGTTGACACTCCTGGATAAGGAGTCTGTTCCTGAGGGGTCTGTACCTATTTGTAAGGGATTAAAATACCCTCAGCTAGAACATGCTGAATAAACATTCCCACTTATTTTTTTTTTAATGTATACATCAAGAGCTACATTAAAATGCTTTGAATTATAAATTCAGCAGGGATTTATTTTGACTTCATTAGCAGAAAATATTACATCTTGTCAACAATATAACTGGTATCTTTTATAACCAAATCTAAAATTTTAAGTAAGAAAAAGCCAATATAGTCTCCTTTTTCTCCTTATATATATTTTTGTTATCTTTTAATAAAAGATAAAGGCTAAAAATAAATGTATTGATACAAACCCTGAACTCATTCTTTATCTTGGTATTTAAATTTTTTGTTTTTATCAATGAAATGAGTAGAGTACAATAATCTCAAGAATAAAATCTTATTTCCAAATTGACATAGCAAATTTAAGATCGTCAACTGAGAAAAAAAGCAATGTACAAGAAAGATTTTGTATCTGAAAAGTATGCTGAATGCCAGTAAGGTATACAAGGACTCAGGAGACAGTGATGAAGAACTTGGAGCCCGGCCCGTGTGGCTCAGTGGACTGACCATCATCCCACAGACTGAGACGTCCCAGTTTGATTCCCAGTCAGGGCACATGCCTGGGTTGCAGGATCAATCCTCAGTGTGGGGCGGGCAGGAGGCAGCCAGCTGATCAGCGTTTCTCTCTCACATCAACATTTCTACCTCTCTGTCCCTTCCTCTCTCCAAAATATCAATAAAAACATTTTTAAAAAAAACAACAACTTAGAAACACACCTCGAGTATGACACTCGTACTGCTTTTAGCATCATTCCTCCAGCTAAGAGACCATTGAGAAGGTGATTATTTAAAAGAAGTAAGATTCACATGACTAACCAAATATATGGATTCCCTATTGCATGCAGTTCCCCGCAGAAGGCTTCTTAGGGGGCTGCTCAATGACCCTTATTGTTCCTGTTGAGGAAAAGGCTCATGACATAATTAAGGACAAAATGGGTATAAGCTAAATGTCTGGACCCTACATGAGCCTAGGACCCTACTATTTCTGGAGTCTTACTTTTGTCCCTACCATCCCACCAGCACAGCAACATTCAACAAAGATGTGAGCCATTCACTATGCTAGACCCTGCACAGCACGGTTGTGAATAATTCATCCATTGCCCCTGAGCAGACTCCTCAGGGATATCAAGTAGGTAATGACAAACAAAAAGGTCATGACAATACAGGACACACTGTGGTTAGAGAGTAGCAGGTACATTGAGATGTAGGATCACAGAGAGGTGCAACTAGCCCAGCAGGGGGTGTGGGAAGAGTGACTGGTAGAAGGGACATCAAGTTCTGAATGAGGAACAGGAGTTCAGTACATTCTACGTGAGCTTGGCAAGGGCTGGGGAGGTACACAGAGAGTCTGTTCTAGGTTCTAGATGGTGGGAACACATAAGTTCTGAAGGCCAAGAAGAGAAAAGCAGAGTTGGAGTACAATAATGACAGTTCAGTGTAACTGGAACAGAAGGGCAAATGGTATCTAAGCCTGTGGAGGTGGAAACTTGGCTGTTACCATAAAGGTAAAGAGTGTTACTGTAAGGAATCGGGGGGCGCTGCCGAATAAAACAGAGAAGAGACTGGAGAGCCAATCAGCCGAATAAACAGGGATCAGGCTTTATTGGGTGCACTCCGGGCGGGTTCACAGACACCGGGGGTCAAGTCCTAGAAGCTGTGCTCAATGTAGGGGCTTGTGTCTTTTATATCTGCCTGTTGTAGCTGGAATTTGTCCCTTAGGGTTTGGCCCTGCGGGGGCTATGCAAGGAGCCTCTGGAATGTGAATCGATAAGAGCAAGATGGGAGTTAATCTACAAGCTCCAGGCAGGCGAGGGAGGCCGTTCAGGGTGGGAGGCAAGGCTGAGCAAGGCTGAGCAAGGAGACAATGGTCAAGCACTTTGCCTGGTGCCAGTCCCCAGGCCATCGGACAGTTACCAGGTGTTAAGAGGAGTTGTGAGCAGATGTGCATTTTAGAAAGCACAACTCTGTTAGCAGTGTGGACTGTGACTGAAGGAGGGTGAGGGAGACTCAGTGGATTGAGATTTGTCCCATGGACTGAGAGGACCAGGTTCGATTTCTGATCAGGGCAGGTGCCTGAGTTGTGGGCTCAATCACCAGTAGGGGGCATGAAGGAGGCAGCTGATCAATGGTTCTCATATGTCTCTCTCTCTCTCTCTCTCTCTCTCTCTCTCCTCTCCCTTCCTCTGTAAAAAACAATTTTAAAAAAAGGAGAAAGATTTAACATTTCATTAATTATAAAGATGGTGCTAAGAAAAATTTTTTCCTGACTAAAAGTTGTTGGCTACTGAAACATAATCAATTAGGCATTTTTCTTTTCTTTTGCATGCTCTGTGAGATGCAAACCCAATTATTCTCATAGTTCTTGTCCTCAGAATACAGACACCACTGATGCAGGCAGACAAAGTGAGGGTCAATTTTGACAAAGTGAGAACCAAACATATATTCAGGTCAGTATCAGTATCAGCTCTAAAAAGAAAGTCTTTGCCACCTTCCTGATGTTTTCTGTTTCTTCTCCCCTCATTTCTGAAATGCAGGCAGATGTGTGCATGGTGCCTGTGATACTATCACCTGGCTCTGTCCCTTGCTCTTTTTCTGGAACCCTACTCCCCAGGTTTATCCTCATTGGTCAGAAGCCTGAAAGTGGACCATGCCAGTGACTGTGTTTCTCGGCAGCCCCTCCCGGCAGTGGGACATTTCCTCTGCTTGTGGCTTTCTGCCCTGATCAGGTTCTCTTCCTGTGCTTGGGTTATTTTCTGGATGCCCCTTCCTCTGACACTCCTTGCACACTGCAACTTCACCTCAAGCACATTCGGTTTATCATAGAATAAAATGGGGATTTGGGTACTTAGCTATTAATTGTCTGGGAGTTCCATGGGGGCAGGAATCGGGTCTGTCTTCATCCCTGCTATGTCCCCAGAATTACCAGTTCAGGGCCTGGCACTCAGTAACAATGATGGGGGGAGGGAGGGGGGAAGGAGGGAAGTAGGGATCAATGGCTGGGAGTTTATCATGAGGGAAGTAAGTAGCCTAGTAGTGTTTTAGGCAAAACTGGGGCCATTTTTCTCAAATCAATGGGTATTTAAATCCCCTGGCATCTTGTTAAACTGTAGATTCTGATTCCGTGGGTCTGGGGAGGAACCTGAGATTCTGCCTTTCCTTAAAGGCACAGGAAGATGCCCAGCCAACTGAGCCACACCGGCCAGAGGTGAGACTCTGCCTTTCTAACCAGCTCCCTGAGAGGTTAAAGACAATGGTGTACTGAGAGGTTAAACAGCAATCCCAAATAGTGAATAAAGAAAAATTGGATTTATTTAAAGAAACATGGATGGGGAACAGGATATCCAAAGCGAAGGGCTACATGGCAGGGAGCCAAGGAGTACTGGGTCGATGATGTCAGCCCCTAGGAGCTGGAGTCATCCTCATATGCCCGTCCCCTGTTGGGGATCTTTCATCATCAGTGGATTTTTAGGGCTTGGTTGGTGGCCTTGGGCAGCAGGTTGGGTCAACAGAAAAGGGGATGTGCAATTGGGTGCTCCTTTGGCAGATTTAGTTCCTCACATGCTTGGATTCCTGGTGTCCAGCATATCCTGAGCAACAAGTTTTCCTGGTCTTTGTTCTCCTGTGGCAGGCAAGGCTCCAAGAGAGCCAATAAGAACTGCCTAGTGTGTAAGTCCTGACACACAGAGATGACCTACAGCAATCACGAAACTGTGAACACAAGGAACATGGAAGAGTTGGGTCCTCTAAATAGCTCTCTACTCCTCCATCTGAACGTCTGTTTAAATCCCCCCAGTCAGGGCACATGTCCAGGTTGTGGGACTGATCTCAGGTTGAGGGTGCATGAGAGAGGCGACTGATCAATGTTTCTTTCACACACGGATGGTTTTATCTCTCTTTCCCTTCCCCACTCTCTCTCTCTTAAAAAAAACACATCCTCCAGTGAAGATTAAAATAGAAAAGAAGTAGCTACACTGTGGCCAGTGCTATGAAAATGACAAACGTGATGGGCTGGGTGAGGCGGGTAGGAAGCTATAGATCAGCGGAGCCCTCTCCAAGCAGGTGGTATTGGAACTGAGACCTGGAGCGTCACACTTCTCCAGCATGTCAGACTTTTAATTTTTGTTTTATTTATATTGTACAGATTTTCATTTCTATTAAAGTAAGAGTGAATCTTTAATATTCCACATAAACAAAAAATTCTTTGGGTATTCTTTTATTTTTTTCCATTGTAAAAGTTTTATGAGAGCAAAAAGTGAGAAAACCACTGTGGTTTATCCCCAGCCCTGATTAGTCCTTTCTTGCCCTGACCTCATAAGATGACATTGTGATGGAACGACAACCAGTCCTATATAAGGCCCTGGCTGGGCTAAGGATATTGTCCATGATAGCCCAGGAAGCTGATTTAGTGACCTGTTGGATTTGGACAAGTTGGCTTGTTTTCTTAGTTGTTTATTGTTTTGAGCCACGATGTATAACAAGTTGGCAGCCCTCTCTGACAACGAGGAGCACCGTGTGGGACATTACATCCTCCTGGAGAAGATCGGCTGGGGCAGCTTCTCCTCGGTGTGGCTGGCCCGGCACACACTCACAGGCGCAGAAGTGGCAATAAAAGTGGTGAAGAAAAAGGACTCCTCTGACCCGTTTAAAGAAATTCGGTCTCTTCAGCTCCTGCAGCACCCGAACATCGTGACCTTGTTTGAGGTGATAACCACCAAGGACGAACTGTATCTCATCCAGGAGCATGTCAACGGGGGAGACTTACTGCAACACCTGACGGACAGAGGCCCGATGACAGAGGAGGAAGCCCGACACACCTTTCGGCAGGTAATCTCTGCACTCCAATACTGCCACCAGTACCATATAGTACACAGGGACCTTAAACCTGAAAACATTCTGCTGGACAGGGACAAGAATGTGAAAGTAGCGGACTTCGGGTTCAGTGCCCAGATCACCCAAGAAACACCTTTACTGAGTAAAATCTGCGGCACTTTTCCCTACATGGCCCCAGAAATGTTGCTCTTTGAACTCTATAATGAAAAGGTGGACGTCTGGAGCATCGGGGTAGTGCTCTACCAGATGTTAACAACAACAATACCCTTTGAGGCACAGAACCGGGTAGAGCACAGATTTAACATCTTAACTGGACGGTTCCCTGTACCAGAGTTTTTATCACTTGGGTGTCAAGACCTGTTAAAAAAGCTATTGACCCTCTATCCTGACGAGAGACCAGCCTTCGATGACATCATGAAGGACCGCTGGCTCAATATGGGCTATGCAGACGAATTGAGCCCCTACCGAGAACCTGCCCAGGAAGGCCTGAACCCCCAAATCATTAACAGCATGGCCGATATGGGTTTTGACAAGGAAAACATTACAACATCTGTGACTGAACAAAAATACGATCCGGTTATGGGCACCTATTTAATTTTAGGTAAAACACCACCCAAAATGAAGGGCTGCATCATAAGGGTTAGGTCTTGCCCCTTCCCTGACCACAACATCAACCTTTTGCCAAAACAAGGGGTTCAGGCACCAGGGAAGAATGACAGACACCCAGCCATTTCCCCAGCTGGCCTGGGGTCAACGGTGGCCACACCTGCACCCCACCAGCTTGTGAGGAAGAAGCACATCTCACCAGTCGAGAAAGCAGGTATGAGCACTACCTCATCCACCAAAGAAGCTGAAAACCAAGAACGCCCAGCCAGATGGGAGGCAGAGACCACCACTGTCCTACCCAGCCAGAAAGCAGAGAGCACCAGTCCACCACCCAGTCGGGAAGCAGCCACCACCACCCCCCTATTCAGTCGGGAAGTGACACTCACCACTGTACTACCCAGCCGGGAAGCGGAGACCACCAGTCCCCTACCCAGCCGAGAAGAGATGACCACCACTGCCCCAGCCAGCCGGGAAGTGGAGCCTACCACGCCCCTACCAAACCAGAAAGTGGAGACCACCACGGCCCTACCCAGCAGGGAAGCAGAGACCACCACTGCCCGACAAAGTCGAGAAATAACCACCACCACTCGCGTACCCTGCTGGGAAGTGACCACCACCACCTCCCTAACATGCAGGGAAGCAATGACCACCACTGCTTTACCCTGCCGGGAAGTGACCACCACCACCTCCCTAACATGCAGGGAAGCAATGACCACCACTGCTTTACCCTGCTGGGAAGTGACCACCACCACCTCCCTAACATGCAGGGAAGCAATGACCACCACTGCTTTACCCTGCCGGGAAGTGACCACCACCACCTCCCTAACATGCAGGGAAGCAATGACCACCACTGCTTTACCCTGCCGGGAAGCGACCACCACCACCTCCCTACTATGCAGGGAAGTAATGACCACCACTGCTTTACCCTGCCGGGAAGCGACCACCACCACCTCCCTAACGTGCAGGGAAGCAATGACCACCACTGCTTTACCCTGCCGGGAAGCGACCACCACCACCTCCCTAACGTGCAGGGAAGCAATGACCACCACTGCTTTACCCTGCCGGGAAGCGACCACCACCACCTCCCTACCATGCAGGGAAGCAATGACCACCACTGCTTTACCCTGCCGGGAAGCGACCACCACCACCTCCCTAACGTGCAGGGAAGCAATGACCACCACTGCTTTACCCTGCCGGGAAGCGACCACCACCGCCTCCCTACCGTGCAGGGAAGCAATGACCACCACTGCTTTACCCTGCCGGGAAGTGACCACCACCACCTCCCTAACGTGCAGAGAAGCAATGACCTCCACTGCTTTACCCTGCCGGGAAGTGACCACCACCACCTCCTTAACATGCAGGGAAGCAATGACCACCACTGCTTTACCCTGCCGGGGAACAATGACCACCACGGCCCTAACCAGCCGGGAAGCAAACAACTGCCCTCCTCTGGCCAGGAGGAAAGTTAAGACCACCACTCCCCGGGACAACTGGGAGGCAATGATGACCACTTCCACAACCAGGATGGAAGGAAAGACCACCACTGCCAGCGCAGCCCACCATTGTGATGCTAGAGGCTCCCGCATCACCCACAGCACCAGCACCAGAAGGGTTGGTGGAGCCCTTGAGGAAACCACTGCTCCTCCTGATGGTGGGTCCCCACACTCTTCCTCTAACCACCCCCAAGGCCGACAGGGTGTGGCTGGAAGGCTCTTGAGGTGTCTGTTCAAACTGAGGTGTAGTGGGCCAAACAGTCACAGACCCACGTCTCAAAAGGACAAAAGTGAAAGCCTTATAATTTTTTAAAAGAATGGATGGCCGAGGAGATTCCAAAATAGCCCAACCGGAAAGTAACCACCACCACTCCCCTCCCCTGCCGGGAAGCAGAGACCACCACTGCTTTACCCAGCAGGGTAGCAACCACCAACACTCGCATACCCTGCCAGGAAGCGACCACCACCGCTTCCCTACCCTGCAGGGAAGCAATGACCACCACTGCTTTACCCTGCCGGGAAGCGACCACCACCACCTCCCTACCGTGCAGGGAAGCAATGACCACCACTGCTTTACCCTGCCGGGAAGCGACCACCACCACCTCCCTACCGTGCAGGGAAGCAATGACCACCACTGCTTTACCCTGCCGGGAAGCAACCACCACCACCTCTCTAACATGCAGGGAAGCAATGACCACCATGGCTTTACCCTGCTGGGAAGCGACCACCACCACCTCCCTACCGTGCAGGGAAGCAATGACCACCACTGCTTTACCCTGCCGGGAAGCGACCACCACCACCTCCCTAACATGCAGGGAAGCAATGACCACCACTGCTTTACCCTGCCGGGAAGCGACCACCACCACCTCCCTACCGTGCAGGGAAGCAATGACCACCACTGCTTTACCCTGCCGGGAAGCGACCACCACCACCTCCCTAATGTGCAGGGAAGCAATGACCACCACTGCTTTACCCTGCCGGGAAGCGACCACCACCACCTCCCTACCGTGCAGGGAAGCAATGACCACCACTGCTTTACCCTGCCGGGAAACGATGACCACCACGGCCCTAACCAGCCGAGAAACGATGACCACCACTGCTTGACCCAGATAGGAAGCGATGACCACCACTACCCTAATGAGCCCGGAAAGAGAGACCACCACTCTTCTACCCTGCCGGGAAGCAGAGACCACCACTGCTCTACCCACCAGGTAAGTGACCACCACCACTACCCTACCCTGCTTGGAAGCGACGACCACTACTGACCTACCCAACTGGGAAGCAACCCCACCACTTTGCTATCCTCAGGGAAGCAATTACGACCACTCCCTACCCAGTTGGGAAACAATGACCACCACTACCCTAATGAGCCCGGAAACAGACCATGACCCCCCGATCCAGCCAGGAGCAAAAACTACGTCCCCTACCCAGCAGAGACCACCACTCCCCTACCCAGCAGGGTAACAACCACCTCCACTCCCCAACCCTGCCGGAAGCGATGATCACCACTGTCCTACCCAGCCAGGAACCAACAACCACCACTCCCCCACCCAGCTAGGAAGTAACCACCACCACTTCCTTATTCTGCCGGAAGAGACGACCACCACTGCCCTACCAGGTCGGAAGCGGAGACCATCACTGTTCTACCCAGACTGGAAAGACAGACCAACAGTCACCTACCCAGCCAGAAAGCAATGACTACCACTACGCTAATGAGCTGGGAAACAGAGACGACCACTCCAGTAATCAGCTGGAAATCAATGACCACCACTTCACTACCCAGCTGGAAAGTGATGACCACACGGCCCTACCCAGCCGGTAAGTGACCACAACTACTCCCCTACCCTGCCAGGAAGCAACAACCACCACTGCCCTACCCCACCGGTAAGTGACCACCACCACTTCCCTACCCTGCCTGTAAGTAACGACCACTACTGACCTACTCAACTGGGAAGCAACCCCACCACTCTGCTACCCTCCTAGAAACTGATTACAACCACTCCCTACCCAGCTGGAAAGAGAAGAACACCAGGCCCTACTCAGCCTGGAGCCACCATGACCACTCCCCTACCCTGCCCTGAAGCACAGACAGTCACTCTCCTACCCAGCCGGGAAGCAACCACCACCACTTCCCTACCCTGCCCAGAAGCAGAGACAGTCACTCTCCTACCCAACCGAGAAGTAACCACCACCACTTCCCTATTCTTCCAGGAAATGACGACCACCACTGCCCTTCCCAGCCGGGAAGCGATGACCACCACTGTCCCACCGAGCCAGTAAGTGACCACCACTACTCCTCTACCCTGCCGGGAAACAACCACCACCACCTCCCTACCCTGCCGGGAAACAACCACCACCACCTCCCTACCCTGCCGGGGAACAACTACCACTACTGCCCTACCTAGCCAAAAAGCAGAGAACCCCATGCCCTACCAAGCTGGGAACCAACCACCACCACTCCCCTATCCTGCCGGGAAGTGATGACCACCACTGTCCTACCCAGCTGGGAAGCAGAGACCAACACTCCCCTACCCAGCCGGTAAGTGACCGACCTACTCTCTTACCCCGCCGAGACGTAACGACCACCACTGCCCTACCCAGCCGGTAAGTGACCACCACCACTTTCCTACCTGCCTGGAAGCGACGACCACTACTGACCTACCCATCTGGGAAGCAACCCCACCACTTCACTACCCTCCCGGGAAGCTATTACAACCGCTCCCTACCCAGTCGAAAAGCGATGACCACCACTACCCTAATGAGCCCCAAAACAGAGACCACCACTCTTCTACTCAGACAGGAAGGAGACACCACGACTCCCTTACCCAACCAGGAAGTAACCACCACCACTTCCCTATTCTGCCAGGAAATGATGACCACCACTGCCCTACCCAGCCAGGAACCGATGACCACCACTGCCCTACCCAGCTTGAAAGTGACCACCACTACCCTAATGAGCCAGGTAAGAGACCACCACTCTTTTTTTTTTTATCCTCACCCGAGGACATATTTTGATATTTTGTTCAGATAGAGTGGGAAGGAGAAAGAGAGAGAAACATCGATGTGAAAGGGACACATCGAGCGGCTGCCACCCACATGACCCAACCAGGGCCGGGGACAAACTGCAACCGAGGTACATGCCCTTAGCGGGAACCGAACTCAGGGCTCTCTGGACCACAGGCGATGCTCTAACCGCTGAGCCAAACCGGCCAGGGCAAGACCACCAGTCTTCTCCCTAGCCAGGAAGCAGAGACACCACACTCCTACGCAGCCAGGAAGCAACCACCACCACTCCCCTACCCTGCTGGGAAGTGATTACCACCACTCCCCTACCCTGCCGGGAAGCAGAGATCACCACTCGCCTACCCAACCGGGAAGTAACCACCACCACTTCCCAATTCTGCCAGGAAATGACTACTACCACTGCCCTACCCAGTCGGTAAGTGACCACCACTACTCCCCTACACTGCAGAAAAACAACCACCACCACTGCCCTACCCAGCCGATAAGTCACAACCTCCACTCCCCTACCCTGACAGAAGCAGAAGCGATGACCACCACTGTCCTAGCCAGCTGGGAACCGACGACCACCGCTCCCCCACCCAGCCAGGAAGTAACCACCACCACTTCCTTATTCTGCCGGGAAGGGACGACAACCCCTGCCCTACCAGGCGGGAAGCAGACACCACCACTGTTCAACCTAGCCAGGAAACAGAGACCAACAGTCCCCACCAACCCAGGAAGCAATGACCACCACTTCCCCAATGAGCCGGGAAACAGAGACCACTACTCCTCTAACAGCTGGAAATCAACGACCATACTCCACTACCCAGCCGGAAAGCGATGACCACCACTGCCCTACCCAGCTGGTAAGTGACGACCACCACTTTTCCTACCTGCCTGGAAGCGACGACCACTACTGACCTACCCAACCAGGAGCCACCCCACCACTTCGCTACCCTCCTGGGAAGCTATTACAACCACTCCCTACCCAGTCAGAAAGCGATGACCACCACTACCCTAATGAGCCCGGAAACAGAGACCACCACTCTTCTACCTAACCGGGAAGTAACTAACACAACTTCCCTATTCTGCCAGGAAGTGATGACACCGCTCCCCTACCCAGCAGGGTAGCAACCATCTCCACTTCCCTACCATGCCAAAAGCGATGACCACCACTGTCCTACCCAGCCGGGACCCGACGACCACCGCTCCTCCACCCAGCAGGGTAGCAACCATCTCCACTCCCCTACCAGGCCAAAAGCGATGATCACCACTGTCCTACCAGGTGGGAAGTGGAGACCACCACTGTTCTACCCAGCTAGGAAACAGAGACTAACAGTTTTCTACCCAGCCGGGAAGCAATTGCCGCCACTACCCTAATGATCCGGGATACAGAGACCACCACTCTTATACTCAGCCGGGAAGCAGACACCAAGACTCCCCTACTCAACCGGGAAGTAACCACCACCACTTCCCTATTCTGCCAGGAGATGACAAAAACCACTGCCTTACCCAGCCAGAAAGCGACAAACACCGCTCCCTCACCAAACCTGAAGGTAACCACCACCACTCCCCTACCCTGCTGGGAAGTGATTACCACCACTGCCCTACGCAGCTGGGAAGCAAAGACCACCACACCCCTACACAGCCTGGAAGCCACCACCACCACTCCCCTACCCTGCTGGGAAACAGAGACCACCACTCCCCTACCCAGCGGAGTAGCAACCACCACCACTCCCCTACCAAGCCGGGAAGCAACAACCACTACTGCCCTACCCGACCGGGAAGCAACCCCACCATTCCACTTCCGTCCCAGGAAGTGATTAGGACCACAGCCTTACCTACCCTGGAGGCGATGACCACCACTACCCTAATGAGCCAGCAAACATGGACCACCACTCTTCTACCTCACCGGGAAGCACAGATCACCACACCCCTACCCAGCCGGGAAGTGACCACCACCACTCCCCTTCCAAGCCTGAAGCAGAGAACACCACTTCCCTACCACCTGGGAAGCAACCACCACCACTGCCCTACTCAGCCACAAAGCGACGAGCATCATTGCCCTACCCAGCCAGTAAGTGACCAACACTACCTTCTTACCATGCTGTGAAGCAACCACCACCACTTCCTGACCCTTCCTGGAAGCGACGACCACGACTGCCCTACTCCACCGGGAAGCAACCCCACCACTCTGCAACCCTCCCAAGAAGTGATTACCACCACTGCCCTACCCAGCCGTGAAGCGATGACCACCACACTCCTACCCAGACGGGAAGAAACTGTATGATGAAGCACAATGGAACCGTGGTTGGGCGCAGTCCAGTTAGGCTTTGGACCCTAAAAATCACATTTCTTTTTCTATATTCTCTTATTGATGGTCTTCCTGTCTCTTTGCTGGCATGTGATCCACTGTCCCTTCCACACCATTACTTCACAGACACACACACTTGAGTGGTACTTTTTTTTTTATCCTTACCCGAGGACATTTTTCCATTTTTTGTTCAGGTAGAGTGGGAGAGAGAGAGAAACATTGACGTGAAAGGGACACATCGAGTGGCTGCCACCTGCACCACCCAACCAGGGCCGGGGACAAACTGCAACCGAGGTATTGCCCTTAGCGCAAACAGAACCCGGGTCTCTCTGGACTGCAGGCCGACGCTCTAACTGCTGAGCCAAACTGGCCAGGGCTTGAGTGGTACATCTGACGGGAGAGCTAGAGGGATCAGTCTAGAAGGAGAAAAAGGAGATAACTGGCTGCTAAGGAGATGTTTGAGATTTCCATAAGATAGAGGCAAAGGCAACCTAAGATCTTCATTACTGGTGTCCTACCAAGGGCAGAAAATGAGACGAAAACCTGAAAGACAATCTACTCAAGACCAGAGAAGAGTTCATCTGAGAAGACCATTTCAAACTTTGTGTACTGTTGGTGGGAATGTAAGTTGGTACAGCCACTATGGAAAACAGTATGGAGTTTCCTCAAACAAGTAAAAATAAAGATAGTCTATGTATACATATCCAATGGAATTGAACCAAGATCTCAAAGAGATATCTATACTCCTGTGTTCATTGTAGCATTGATCACAATAGTCAAGGTATGGACACAACCTAAGCCTCCACTGATGGATAAAAGGCTATGAAGATGTGGTTTTATATATGCAATGGAATACTATTGAGCCAAGAAAAAGAAGAAAATCCTGCCATTTGGGACAACATGAATGGATCTCGAAAGCATAATGCTAAGTAAAATGAGTCAGACAGAGAAAGACAAATACATGTTATCACGTATATGTGGAATCTTTAAAGTCAAACTCATAGAAGTCGAGAGTAGAATGGAGGTTGGTGAGTGAAAGACTTAGGTAGATGTCGGTCAAAGGTACAAACTTGCAGTTAGAAGATGAATAAATTCTGGGGACTTAATAAGAAATATCATGGTTATTATTAATAGTACTTATTATATACCTGACAATTGCTAAGAGAGTAAATCTTAAATGTCTTCGGTACAAAAATATATGGTAAATATGTGATGTGGTAGAGGTGTGAGTTAATGCTATAGTGGTAATCATATTGCAATATATAAGTGTATGCATACCTTAAATTTATACAATGTTATATGTTAATTATATCTCAGTGAAGCTGGCGGGGGTGGGTACCTCTCTACCATTTATTTTCTGGAAACCAAGGTTAAGTAGAAGGTATAAGAAAAACAAATCCCAGCAGTCACTGATTCTAGAATTTCCAAAACACTGCCTCTTTAGACCGGTCCAGCCTTAATTAAATTCATGTTCACACTAATGTTACATTGGGGAAGAAAGAACG